AAAAAAAAAAAAAAAAAAAATACTGAAAAGATTCAAAAAGTTTGTTATTTGGAACATTTAATTTTTTCAATTTATTATTAGTGTATTACTTTTAAAATAAATTAATTTAGAAAACAGCGGTTTTTACGAGCAATTTAAAGGAAAAATTAGCACGATACTTTTTAATATAGGATAAAAAAATTTTCATACCTATGTGAGTAATAAAATCCAATTTCCTCGCACAATATGTGAATGGCGATTTCAACGAGCACCCAATGAAAGGTCGGCAATTCGCGTACAGAGGGATAACCGCGCCATTCCATAAAGTGATAACTGACGTACGCTAGAGGAACTCCAACAATGATCTGATTGAACAGTACTTGAGCAATTACTTTGCACAATTCTCTTGTGTCAACTGGTTCGTTCGTACCCGGTTGTATTTTATATCTCCGTAAAGCAACTGGTCGATTAGTTATATCCAGAATTGTGTAAATCCCACCGAAGAACCAGTATACAAAGAAAGTTAATCCTAACGAGCCTGAAAAAAATGTTAATTTTGTAATTCTTCTTCTAAATATTCTACATTTTTACAAAAAAATTGGTAAATAAAAATGTTCCAAGATAAATTTTCAATAACAATAATACGTAACATAGAAACTTTATTTCTTCGGTAGATTTTGTTTTTGTTCTTGTACAATAAAATATACTTCTATTATTAAGAAAAAAATGCAAAAAAGTTAAAAATAACTCAATTGTATGTTATCGCATACCAAGTTTCTTACAAAATATAGTGCATATTTTTCTCTTTGTCAATACATTACCTAATTATACGTCTGGTAAATTATTTAATTTATGTATATTATAACTAAATGACATTTGAAATTATTTGTCTTTTGTGATAAAATTCAACAATTTCAATGACACATAATTTGTTTAAATCCTTATCTTGGAACTGTTGTGTATTCTATAAGTTTATTCTTTGTTTTATCTTGGTATACCATGAACCCAAAGCGTGACAGGGTCATCTCCTAATTTGTCTAAGATTTTGTCCCATTGCGCTTGCCAGAAATCACCAGAGGCTCCCCAAAATCTTTGTAAATGCCTAAGGAATGAAATGATTAAGAAATTGAATTGATAACGCTAAATATTAGTCTTGCATAACATTTTTTTTTTGGATTTACCATGTTAGTGAGTTGCAGAATGCGGCGAATCCGATCACAACGGTCCCAATTACGAAAAGAACGCTTCTCAAACTTGAGAGTAAAGTTGGTGGTGTTTGATTTTTACAATCATCGCCGGTAGCAGACGTTACTGCAAAGAACAAATTATTATTAGTTTTATGTTTTTATAATTCTTTACATTCTTTCTAATTAAATGAATTTTAAGTCATTTCAAATGCTGTTTAATTTATTTAGTAATTTAATCGATTTTTGTTTAAAAATTTTACATTTTTATATATGTCATGTATATATGTTATTTAAAGTGATAAAACACTTAACTTTTATACTTCTCTGTAGAAATTTATAAGTCTTATGAAACTATCAGGTTGTGATTAATTTTTATATTTTTATATAAAATATAAATAATTTTTTTTTGTAGTAACATAAAGTAAATATACGTAGAAAAATTTTTAAAAAAGCGAATAATAAAGAAGTATTATTTAACACACAATTACAATAAAGTACTATTTGATATTTGATTAGAATTTTTATCTAATAAATTTATAATTTTCATATTCTATTTAATGTTTCTATTTAATGCAATTTTTTTCGATATTTATTAAACTATTTTAAATTGCTAGTCTTTGTAAATGTATAAAAAGTGAAATTTTTTCTTCTTCTCATGCTGCGTTTATGAATATTTTTGATATAAATAAATTAAGCAACTTTCAAATAAAATCGAGAATAATAAAATTACGTTGCAAAAAAAATTAAGTCAACGTGAAACATCGTTATTATTAGTAGTAATAAGAATTTGACGAATCGTTAACATAAACAGGAATAACAATGGAGAGTCGTAAATTTTCTAAATAACAGTGGTAACTAAATTTGTATACTATGTCCAAATTCCATTTTATTTAAAATTATATTTTCAATGAAATTTTTTTATTTTACATTTTCGATTTATTCTTACATATAAAAAAACTTCTCATATTAATTAATTAATTAACATTTGAAGTTTTCAACTCTACTCTTTAAAACTAAAGCTTACAATGCAATTCTATCACTTTTAATTTTCTTCTTATTTATCAGTTTGTGAAAAAAAATAACACTTTTCACAAAACATAAATTTTAAAATGTTTGTAAAAATTAATTTCAATTTACTATTTATTATAATTTATAGGACAGTGTTATTCAGGTTGTTATTTCTACTTAATGATAAAGGATATGTATAAACAATATTTTATAGATATTAGAAACTTTAAAAATTCAAATCCAATTTCTGGAAAAATGTATTTTCATAGTTACATTTCTTTTCTAGTAAATCTATTTAAATGTAAATCATGAAATTAAAAAAATGTCTAAAATATTTATCATTAAATGTCTAAAATATTTATATTTTAAACAATTTTTATGTCTAAAATATTTATTATTAAATGTCTAAAATATTTATATTTTAAATAATTTTCGTTATTAATTTTCGTCAAGTATAACAATTTTCAGCAAAATATAATATCATAATTAGTGAAGATTTTCATTAGTTGCTCAACTTTTCAATCTTATTAGCACTCTTATATAATATTTACTCTTATAATATTTTCGTGCTCTTATATAATATTTCGAAATTAATAATTATTTACAATTTAAAATACATCAAATTTAATTTGATATTAAACATTATATATTAAATTAATTTAATGTTTAATATTTGAAAAATTACAAATTGAATTACGTCAACTCATTATTTAATAATAAAATATTTAATTAATAAATTTATTTCCTGGTTTTGTAATGTTTTTTATTATTATGTATTAATTTCAAAAAAATAATGATAAAAGGTTTAACTTATATTTAACAATTAAGAACAATAAAAATGCACGAGGAAGGAAGTTCAATACACATGAACATTATTGGTATTAGACAATTACTTAAATTAACTTTAAATGTGTAAATAGATTATTGAAATAATGATCACGTACAATAACAATGATGAAGAAACAAAAATGAAATACAATTGATTTTTATATAATTTGATTTATTAACGAATGGTAAATCTCTGAAATATTTTACATAAATCAAATGAAATGACTAAAACAATGTTTAACAATTGCTAGTATATTTCTGTATTACTAGTATGTACTTTCTTTGTATAAGGATGCAAGTATATGATTTAAGGAAATAAACAATTTTTCAAATTTTAAGAAAAATATATTTTCTTTAGAATTAACGTATAATATTATTATTATTTAAAAAAATGACATACAGGATGGCTTAATTAAAAATGAAAACTGAAATATTTTCAGAACTATAGTTATATCGGAAAATATTTCAGACAAAAATTGAATGATTTCAAGATGGCTGATTCTACTCGATTTTTCAATTTTCAAAATACATGTGCCTACTATGTAATTTAATTTGTTTTCTAAAATACTGTTTATTGCAGTATCATTCATCTTCCAAGGTAGACTCAATGTAAATTTCATTATTTTATATTAATTGTTAAAATTTAGATTAATTGAACTGTATTGTTCGATAAAATAAAATATTGGATACAGTTATGATGCATTTGTATTTAAATATAAATAATTTCGAAGCTATTTAAAATGAACCTGCATTTAAAAGAATTTAAATCATTTAAATCAGAATTAAAGAATTTAAATTATATTGAAAAATTTTTGAATGATATTAAATATAATGAATATATGTAATCAATATTTGAATTATATTAAGTCAAAAATCATTTTCGAAAATTGAAATGAAATATCTTTCTATTGTTAATTCTTATATTATGTTTATTATGTTTGAATATTATTTATTATGTTTATCACAAAATTTTCTAATTTTTCAATTTTTTAATATATTGTTTTAAATTGTTACGTGAAAAATATTTTTGTAATTTTCTGTGTAATTTTTTTCATATTTTGTTTAATCCATTACATAGTTATAATTTTTAATAAATATAAATTATACATGTTATATTTATTAAAAATTATTTCAACCTACTGTGGTTTTAATATTTGAAGTTATTGATTTTAATTAAAGCTGTTTGCATGAATTTTGTTTAATATTATTAAAATTATATACAAGATCAAAACATGTATACAAACCAAGGAAACGGAAAATTGAAAAATAATTAAAAATGTGAAAATAATTATATAAAATATATTGATAGTTGTAACGAAAACTTTATTTGTATATTGTATGTGTTATATGATCCAATGTGTTTTCTTTAGCTTCATTTTATATTAAAAGTTGCTATTACATTAAAGATAGAGAAAAATAAAATCAACTGACTACTTCAACTGATAGTATATGTACCAGCAGTATATGCATCTGAAAATAAATTGCTCTATGTTTATTTTTTTAATTAAGAAATTTATATTATACACAATATTTTAATAACTATTAAGTGATCTTGATTAATTAATATTATTAATATTAATAAACTAATTTTATAACAGCTTTTTAATTAATACTAGAAGTAAAATTTATAAAATAAATCTTTCATTTATTATTTTTTATATTACATACAAATAAAAATTTTTATTCGCAATAAAAAATATTCTATCCTCTTCTATAAATATGTAGTGACATATCAAAAATCTATATCTTATTAATTTTTTTCTACAAAATGAAAGACTTGAAAATATATTGATAAAAATGCAATTAAATGGCTCCAATTTAAAACAATCTTATTTGTCATTTAGACCTTACTGTATATAAATCAATAAATTTATATATACTGTATATAAATGAATAAATAACAATAATTTAATAATACTGAATAATGACAACAACAACAACAACAATTTACTGAATAAATTTATAATATATTATAAAGAGCAAAAACAGATAAATTGTATGATATTTTGTACAATTTTTGTTAATATACTGCTGGTAGTAAAAGAAAAATTCAAAATGATAAGGTGAATGATGCTTTAAAAAGGAGAAATATTTGTTAAGCTACCTAAAATTGATCATTTTTTATATCATCATATTTTATATCGCATTTCTTTTTTAGATTTCTCTTTTATAAATTTTTATGTAAAATTATAGTAAAAGTACTCGTAATGTACAAAATCTGATAAATTATGTTAATATATTTAATACAATTGTACTAATGATTTCGACATTTTGAAGATGTATTTATTCATATGTATATAAATGAAAATTTTATACATATAAATGATGATGGTAAAAAATAGTTAATTTTAAAATAATAAATTTTTGATTTTTTGACAATATGAATACTTGAACAAGTTTAAATAGTTTTACAAGAGAGTTCTAGAAATTTTGGGAAATATAATTGTATAACAAAAAAACTATGTGTAACTTTTTAGAACTTTTAGAAATGTATTTATATAATAATATGTTCTATCGTTTTCTTCTTTAAGTGATTATATAAAATATTCAATTAATAATAAATTCCAGCTAATCTGTGTACGTTATCTATATATAACTATTATATTATCTATACATCTATCTGTATAACTATTGTATTATCTATATATAATTATTATATATCTATATATAACTTGTATATTTCTTATTTTAATATTTAATATTATAATTTTAGTAATAATATTTAATAACAAAAATATAGATATATTTGTGATTAACATAGAAATAACGAAACTTATAATAGAATTAATACATAAATTGAAGATTTATAATATTGATTTGCTAATTTCAATAATAAATTAATTAAGAATATGATTAAAACTGCAATAATATTATAATGTATTTTTAAATTTTTTTAATATTGACTACCAATGATGTTTATTGCTAATTTTTTGAGTGAATATTTTACTTGTTTACAAAAGAAAACATGATTAATTGCATTGATTATATGTAATTAAAAAAATTTACATTCATACTATATAATTATGTTTCTTAGAATTCTTATAGATTTATGATGTGTGTACATTTTACGTCAGTAAAAGTCTAATCTTTTTTTTTTATCGAAAATATAAATATACAAATATAAGCCATCTACGGAAGAAAAAAATTTTCAAGGAAATATTTACTTCCTTCATAATTTAACAAATTCTTTGTTATATATTATTTAATGATAAATAATATATAAAAACACAAATATATAAATTTATATTCCTAGTATTAATATGTTGTAAATGATATTTTATATTTTATAATTATAAAAATATGTAGCATATAAGGAAGAATAATAATAAAAAAAGAAAATTATATTAATTGTCGCTTAGATTAGAATATCTATCATGTAGAAATTTGATTTTTTACTTAATTTTAAACTGTTAAATGTTGTAATCGATTGTAATCTAATCTTATAATATTTGGACTATGGACAAATTAAGAAATATGACTTTGTATATTACATTATCACACAAAAATATATAAAATATATGGAGAGCTCAAAAGCCAATTAGTATAAGACATCTGTCATTAAAAATAACTTATGCCATGCAAATATTCTTTCAATCATTACAGTATGGACATTATAATACAATTATTATGACATTATAACTATTTCATGGACTAAAGGTTTTGATGAGAAAAATTACTTGCACTGATTGGATTCTGAGTCGTCAATATTTCCAGTATTTCTTATATTAGTGAGTGAAAACAATTTTCAATTTCATTTCTTATAAAAATATAAATTTATATAAAGTATATTTGAATGAAGATTCGAAGAAGATCTCCTTGTTAATATGTTAATTATTTCCTTTCTTAGTTCACAATATATCGTACACAATATATATGCCATAAATACCGATTCGAGGAAAGAATTTGATCTATGTAGAGGTTATATGTTCCACGTAATAGTATGTTTGACTCACATTTTGAAATATATTCTCGTCTTTATCTTCATCGGTATACTTTTCTGATGAAATAAAGTATCGAGCAATGGCATCGTGAAATTGATTAAACATGCACCTTTCAATTTCGCTTATTCAATCTCGGCTATACCTACAACGTACGTTGTTAAATGATGCATATATTAACCGAACCTCTATTATTTTATCCTTGACTATGTTCAATATAATCATTATTTCGTCATTCGTTTTTTTTTTGCTTATGTCACTTAATGTTTTGCCAATTCATGTGTTTACATAAATTGGCTAGACACATTTATGTTGTTAAATGTAAGTTGGATTAATAAAGTCCTTAAATATAATATAATTTAATTAATTTCTCACATTTAATATATTTTTTATAATTTATTTATTTTATCTATTTTTATAATTTATAAATATATTTTTTTTAATTTATCTATTTTTATTTGCCAGTTTTATTATAAAAAAATAATTTTATATATGTGACGAAGGAAAAAATCTGTAAAAAAATTATTTTTGTATATATAGCATAGCACACAAAGCAAAAACATTTGATTATATTATATTTAATTATTAATTATTAATTAAGTACTTGCAAATTTTAAAAATGTATAAATATATCAGATTTAAAAATATTAACATTATATTACAGTAAGAAAATATTAGAACATTTCATTATAAAAAATAAAAAGTATTTTTTTGTAACTTTTTTTATTTTCATTAACAATTATGAACTTTGATCTAGAATCAAAATTATCATTATCTTGTATGTGATTAATATAATCAAATTGTAGTTTAAGTTATATTCTTAAATGTCTGAATACTATATATAGTAACTTGTATTTTGTTATGCATTTTATCTAATGACTATCACTATGAACAAGTGCGTGTTGACAAGGTAAAAATATGAAGTATTAAGTATTACTTTAAATTATGCTGTTTCTTGTCTAATGTCTAATTCTGTTCAAAAAATATTTTTCGCTCCTTCTTGTAAATGTACCTTTTTGAATTGTGTTACATCACATTATCAAATATGAGACTTTTTTGTTTTAAATATTGCATCATTTAAACAATTATTTATCACCTTGAAAAAGTCATTTAAAATTTACATTAGACTTCTTTAGACTTCTTTACTTCTATGCATAATATTTCTTATTATCTATAAAAGCTTAGTAAACATAATTTTACTAAGCTTTTTTTTGAATTAACTTTTAAGATCTTAGAAATCATAATAAACTATTTTTAAAAATATTTTAAAATAGAAATAAAATTTTATATTAATTAATTATTATTTGTTTTTAAGAACTTCCTAAAATTTTTTAAATTACAAGATATTAATTATTCTGACTTTTCAGAAGTGCAAGATGAAAAAAATCTTTATATTTTTAAAATATATAGAGAGAAGGAAAGATATATAAATTTCTTTATTCTTTGAGATTTATAATTATAATACATTATAAATCAATTAATACATAGAATTTCAGAATTCTATTAAAAAATTATCATATTTCTATTTCTTTATAACATTTAATTTATCTTTTACAAAATACATAGCTTCAACCATCTTTTAATCTTTCTCACAAATATTAAATATTTTGTTATTAATTACGAAATTTCTATTTTAATCTTCTTTAATTTAGATCTCAAGTTCTTTGAATCTCGAAGAACAAGTAAAATGCTTAAAACTTCCGTCAATGCTTACATAGTAATTATACATAGTATTTAAGTATGCTTAAACAAGCATGTTTAAATAAATTATTATTAAAAAATCGTTATGATAAAAATGTTTAACTCTTAAAGATTGCTCAATTTGTAAAGTTAGGCATGTATTTACATGAATATGTTATCTAATTGGGTGTATATATTGAATTTCTAAAATCATTATTATATATTCTTACAATAATTACATCTGAAGACAATGAATTATTATTGAATTATTATTATTATTATTATTAACATATAAAATTTACAAATTTTGCATTTGATTTAAACAAATAGTTTTGCATAAAAAATATTAAAACTGTGAAAATTTAGATTCATAAATTATTCGAAATATCGATGCTATTTAAATTTCAATTTCATTGCCTCTTTTTATCCATTAAGATGTAACATTGTCATTGATGATAATATGTTCACAACTTATATATAAGTATATTATCCCTACTACTATTTGACGCATTTTGCGGAGAATTACACTTCCATTCAGATAAAGTCGATTGTAATATTTTGTACGCAATACGAATGTTGAATTTCATTTTTATTTAAAATTATTAATTTCTTCTTTTTTACATGCATATTAATATAATTTTGTTTCTATCTTTACTTCTATTTATGTTATACATTATTTTAAATTTTTCATGCACACATATCAAAATTATCACGCTTTAATATTTTTCCCTGTATTCCTATGATAAATTTGCAAAAGAAATAATAGAAGGAAAGGTTTTACTACTTTTTTATATGCAAGAATAGATTTTTTAAATCTCACATGGCTTTTGTTTATAATAATAACTATAATAATAATTACTTGATATTATATGAAAACGATTAATAAATATTTTGAATTATTAATTTTATTTAAAATTATTAGGTACATAGAATTGCGTTTATATAAACTTGTTGGCAGATAAGTAGTTCATATATAATTGCTTTTTATATAATTGTTTTCTTCTTGGTTCTTTCCTTAATTATTTTTCATTCATATAGAAATTTAGATTCAAATAAGTAGATTCAACTAGCAAACATTCATTTAATCAAGTATTGACTTGATTCAAATAAACGGTGTTCTATTCTAATAAAATTTTATATTTATAATAATAAATGTAATTTTATGATTATTTTTTAATAAATCTCTATGATTTTAAATGCAAAATTCATTCAAAACTGTATAGAAATTCATTCATTTTATATTAATAATATACGAGTTTTATAGATTATTAAAGTAATAATAAATTTATAATATATAATATATATTATTAAGTAATTATTAAATAATAATATATATTATTAAATAATAATTAAGTAATAATATATATTATTAAAGTAATAATAAATATATAAAATAATATATGAAGTTTTATAGATTATTAAAGTAAAAAAGATGATAGTTATCAATTTAAAGAAATTTTAAAAAATTTATTCATCGTATATTATATCTAAAAAATTGTAAAATTCTATTCTTTTTGTACTAAACAATATATATATATATATATATATATATATATATATATATATATCGTATTATTAAAATTACATGTTAATGGTATTTTTGACGTTAAAATCTTCTGTTCTGACCTGTTTCCAAAGTTTTTCTAATGGAAAAATGATTAATTTATTAATCTTCTTTATTTTCTTAAACATAAGAAAATAAATTATTTTATAAAATTTTGTAAAATTATTTTGTAAAATCAAGTTTAACTTGATTCTTTTATGATGTATAAGATTATGATATATAAGAAAAAAATCTTTATGTGAGTAAATTTTCTTTCTGTTTAAAAAATGAATAAATTTTTTATGAAATATGTAAACAAATAAATAAAAATAAAAAAAATATATAAATAATAAAAATTATACTTTCTATTCGAGATAGAAATTGATTTTAAAATAGTTGCAAAAAATATAATTTGTTTCACCTTGTTTTTATTTGATACTATAATCAAATTTTTTTCTAAACAACACAACTTATTAGTTTTTTTACTCATTTTTTTACTGCTTTTGAGCTTTTAATATAAGCTTATACAATAATATTTATTTGTAATCTTTTATTCTAAACAAATTCAAATTATATTTTAAACAAATTTTAAACAAATTTGTATGTAGCTATATTTAAAATTTTTTCACATTAATTAAAATATATAAGTTTCACATTAATTAAAACGTGTGTTTTAATTGAACTATCATTCATAATTTGCAAATGGAAATATAATATATAATAATAAAATAATAATAAAATTGATAATAAAAATTTTTTATAGAAATCGTATGAAATATACAATCAATATTTTGTTATATATACAATTAATTATCATATATATAAATATTATTAAACATATATTATTAAGTACAATTAAATGCAGAATGTTCATTTAAAAAAGGGATAAGATAAGAAAACAAATAGTAAATTTTACATATATTATATGATTGAAAATATTTTTACTACACTTTGTTAAAAATATATGTAATCACGAAACTTTTTTTATTACGTGACTTAATTTGAAGATTGAATCGTAATTTAATTCGATTAAGGTCAAACATTGCTCTCGTAAAATTTATCCTGTTATACTCGTGTAATTCCAAACAATACAATTATAATTTTATTCAATTTATATTAATGTATAATATAGATTATAGGTACTATTTTAAAGAAGTTTAAACTTAATGTAAACTAATACATTTAATACCTATTTTTCATATGCTAGTAAATGTATTAACTTCATTTTAAAAATCAGTTTTTATTTTTAGAATGGAGTACATCATAAATTGAAAAATCAATTTGTATCTTCAATTACATTATATGCATTAATTGTTTTCGTAACAAGAAGAATGAAATATAAAGAAAATACTTTATTCAATGCCAATAAATAAATAACCTAATCTATGTCGATATTATTATTATTCGTGTATATTTATAACACTATAAAAATTCTTGTACAAAATTGATTATATCGTTGTCGTTTTGCATAGTATGATAAATGGGGTCATGTTAATATCTTGATATGAAAACTAATTTCGTTATTGATTAAATTCATATCGTTCAGCTTGTCTCTGTGATCGTGACTATAGACAAGTTGGTAAAATAGAAAGGATCGTTTCCCCTTGTTATTACGATTATCGTTATACAATGTCGAACTTTATTAATCAGTAGAAAAACAATGACCAATTACATTCAATTAATATGCGTTTATTTACATTTCTGTTTACAGCTTTCTTCCCTCCAAAAGTGTATATCAATACAGATGCATGCATGCATACACACGCACATACATTGACATCACATTTGAAATCGTAGAATGAATGAAAAAATGTAAGGGAAAGGAGTGAAATCGATTGCTATTGAACTATTTAATAAATGAAAACACACAGTTCAATGAATTATGATTTCACTTGTGCTAACTGTGATAGTGTTGTCGTAGGTTCACTCAACTTGGACATGTTTTGTTTAAATGTTAACGGGAAGAAATCAAAATGTTTTATTCCTACCTTTATACTGGGTCTGAACATCCATCATGGTTGACGATGGTAGCGTTTACGAAAAAGCCCACGAGAATTCTTGCGTCTGAAGTCAATGGATCGCATTTGCCACAGCATACATGATAGTCGATAAACGCAGACCGTTGATACTGGCAAATGCGCCGTAGCACCAAGCTCGAATCTCCAGCTCGCTGTATATATATATTGTGTGTGTATATATATATATACACAGTATATACATATATTATACATATTATAGATATATATATATACGTCACTTATGCATACATATATTTTTCTATATACTATTGTATATATGTGTATATACATATATAGATATATATATATAATATTTATATATATAAATACATATAATAAACTATATTCTGTAGTGCACAATGCAATTTATATACGCATTTTCTACGTAGTAGAAATATATATGTAGTCTTGTGCATTTATGCGCACGTATTAGGTTAGAATTATATATTTTTCATTCTCATCAAAGGTCGATTATAATCAGTGTGACGAAAAAAATACTTCGTTCATATATTTTATATATGTATATATTTTTTATTTCTTGTGTGTAAATTATTAATAATTGTTAATAAATTCTATATTTATTATACATATTTATTATACATATATTGTATTATTTATTATACATATATTTTAAAAAATATATTATAATAAATGGAGTTTTCATATTATTCTATAGATGCTGAAATTACTCATAACACACTATACATACATATGAATCAGCTGTTATCACCTGTTGTGTAGTGATGTATATTGAAACGTATGTAATAGGTTACAATAGGATTATTTACTCAATGATCATCCCGAGTAAATAATTCTTTATTTATGAAACACAGTAAATCAATTATTGTTAATTGACTATTGATTTATAAAAGAAGATAAATAGAAAATAAATAGTCTTAATTATTTATACCTGAATAGGAAAAAGTTGAAAATTAGGTCCAAAGTTGTATAATGGACTATATTAAAAAATGAATAAAAAATGATATATTGAATCTTATCAAGAAATTATTTTTAACAACATTGTTTTTTATATAGTTTTATGTTTTTATAATCATGATATGTATATGTCTATATATATCCTAAATAATCTTATTTGACAAGTATAAAAATTACTTGACATGTTTAAAACTGCTAATTTTCGATAAAATAAAAATACATATTTAAATTTTAGATTTCCACAATATATGTATATAATGGAAGCTTCAATTTTTACTTTATCAATATTAAATTGAAATTCTAATTTTAAATGAAGAAAGATTAGAAAAAATGGATATTCGGAATAGAATTGTATACATTTTAAATTTTTGCTGTAAATGGTCTAATAGTAATGAGAACTTCCGTAATGTGGCAGCACATACGCGCTTAAGATGTCTAATTGCTTCCGGTTATAAAGGGAGTAATGTAGACTTTGCAATTTGAGGTATAAGATTGTAATTTTCCTAGTATTTTTATGTAATTATTAGTAAAAGTCATTGTAAATATTGTAAAGTTAGTTAAACATAGACATGAATGTATTTGATCTTGATTACATACAGATGTGAGTGATAAAAACACCGTAATAAAATATGTGCACGAAAAGTTACGAATACGTGTTTCCATCTTGACAATTTCAGAAATATAAATAAAGGTAAATACAGTTTGGAAAGCAAATACTTTGTATTCGTACAAAAATACAATTTTATTTATCACATTAGTAAAAATTGATTTTTGACTTCATATAATCTTTAATTTTTAATATCCAAAATTTTTAGAATATATGTGTTTTTTTCTCTTGTGATATAAATTATATCATTTAATTTCATATTTAAAGTTATTTGCGTAGTTTTATTTATTATTCATCATGTTTATTACTCATCACTTTTTTATTTTATAATTTATGTAAAATTCTTAATTAAAAATTTTAATTGAAAATTTTTTAGGTTATCTTCTTCAATCATTCATTTATCAGGTAGCATATGTTATATTATTATTAGGCATCCAGAAAAGTTTTTGCAGATTTTTGTTAATCATAATTTTAGGAATGTTTTTGATTGACAATTTTTTTGGAAGCGGGAAAAACAATTATTGCTAATGTCTATTATGATAAGTTAAAAACAGTTTTGGAGAAATTATGGAAAAAACAGCCAGTATTAGTAAACAGGAAAAAAGTTTTGTTTCTTTAGGGTAACATTTGACCACATGTGGCAAAGATGATTTGTGATGAGATGGTGAAACTTAAATGGAAGATTATGTTTCATCGACTATATTTGTCACATGTTTTATCAATAGATTTTCAGTTGTATCTGAGTCTAAGTAACCATATGAGGAACAAGCAGTTCACTAATGAAAATGATCTGAAAGAAAAAATTATGATTTTTTTGTGGCAAAATAAAAGATTTTTTTATAAAAATGGTATTAATTGTTGGGAGAGATTTAAAAAATGTGAAGATATATATTTTGATAAATTCATGTTTTTCATATGAAAAAGCAGCAAGAATTTTTCTGGATATCTAATTTAGAATTCTGTTTCTTAAATCTTTGTATAGATTTAGTATAGCATACAATCTTTGAGGTCTATTTTACTATTATTTTTTATCATATGAAATAAATATATAAATATTGTGTCTATTTGTTGAATTTGCTATAATATTCTTATATTGAAACTGTGTAAATTTTAAACACATAAAAATAAATTTATATAAGATAGTTTTCTATTAAATATAAATTTCATGTTGTATTTAATATTTAATATTTAAAATTAATGTATATTATACATAAATATTTACTGTTTGTGTACAATATAGAAGTCTGATTATAATATTAGTATTTTCTTTATTTGATAGTTTATATAAGATGTCATTGGAAAAGTTACTACTTAAATGCTGTGTTGTAAGCATTAAATATGCTACAAGGTAAGCCGTGTGTATTCTGACATTCAGCGTCTATACACATAGATAATACAATTAGTTTACCCCAGTTGAGCTTTAATCCAATTAGTATATGAAAATGAGAGCAGTGGGTGACACACTGTCTGATAGAAACTTTCACTGCCATTGACTTCATAATTTCTTACTTACAAGAGTTTAAGTTTATCTTATATAAATTATAATGAAGTGGTTTTTATTGTTATTAATTCTGCAGTTCACAATGTGGGGTGCATCAGAAGAACCACCAGAAATAATGGAGGAAGAGGTACTTGAGCCTGTGGCACATGCAAAAGAAAAGTGTGAACAAAATAAAAGTCAATTGGAAACTCTTAAAGAAATTATGTTGAAAAATAAACAAAGTTTAAAAAAAAAAGAAGAAGAAGTTCAGGTAATAAACGTTAATTTATAAAATTTTAATAAAAAAATTTTCATTTCACTGAAAATTCAAATTTAAATTTAGGAGTATGCAAGAAGACTTTCCAAAATTAAATCTAGAGCTAAATTATCACGACGAAATAGAGAAGGAAATCTGACTTCCAAAGATGTAACCTATACATCTGAAACATCTTTGGCAAATACATCTGATCAAAGTATTGATGACATTAGTCAAGCAAAAACTGTAAAAGCAAAATCTACTTTACTCCAAAAGAAACTGGCAGAAAATAGAAAAGCCTTTGAACAGCGTAACAAAGAAATAATAGAAACTAAACGTGCAGTTGAAGAAAAAGTAGAAGCTATTAGACAGCAATTAGAAGAAAAGGATGTGACAGTAATGGGTTTTCCAAAGGATCAATTATCTATTACTCCTGTTAAACCAGTGATGATTACTTCTGATGTTAGCAATTAATTTTTATGATTTAATTTTTGAAATGATATATTTTTATTATGTCATTGATAATTACTTTCAATATTTTGATTATAGATCATGTCACCAATACAAATTGAAAGTATTCAAGAAAAGGAAAACAAAATTACAGAACTTAATAGTAAAATTTTGGAACTTGAAGCCGTAATTATGGATCTTCAAGAAAATTTAAAAGAAAAAGATTCTGTGATTGAATCTAAAACGAAGGCAGTTACCCTTATGTCTGCAGATCTTTCAAAAAAGGGTAAAACGACATTAGATACTCTCGAAGATACGAAAGACGAAATGAGAACGATGCAGGAACATTTTGTGCTTTTAGAGATGTCCCTGAAAAATAAAAATGAAAATCTTTTAATACAATTGCAAGAAAGGGATAGTAAAATTGCAGAATTAGAGGATTCAATTGATGGGTAATTTTGTAAACTTATTAAATATTATTTCTTACAACTGATGAAAATTTTTTCTTATTATTTATTTCTTACTTTTATTTAGATTTAAGAAACAAATTAACGAGCAAAAATTGTCTGAGTCAGCAAGTGCTGATTTCTCTCGTTCTACAATGGACGCTTTGGTAGAAAGTAAAGAAGTTATGAAATCAATGCAAGAAAATTTTGTACTTATAGAATCTTCCCTTAAAGCAAAAAACGAAAATTTATTACAACAGTTAAAAGATTACGAGTTAAAATTAGCCGAAGCTAATGAACGAATATTTAAATTGGAATCTGGTATTGGAATAGTCAGAGATCCAACTGTTGGTGATTTGCAGTTTAAATTGGAAAAATTGGAACATAATAATAAGCAGTTGCAAGATGAAAAATATGAATTACAGAAAAATGTTGCAGAATTGCAAGATAAAATTGTAAATATATCTATGCATGGTAATGGTGCAATAATAGAAAAAGATAATAGAATAGTTGAACTTGAAAATTTAGTAGAAGAATTAAAACAATCTAATAAGCTTCTTGAAGAAGAATCTAAAGCAGAATTGCAAAATCAAGTGGCAGATTTAACACTAAAAAATGAAGAATATTTGAATAAAATAACCGATCTTGAAAATTTGGTACATAAACTTGAAGAACAAAAAAATGAAATTATGGCAAAATTACCAGAAGAAAATACTATTAAAGAAGATGAAAAAATGATAAAACTTACCAAGGAATTAGAAGAATTAAATAAGAGTATGATCAAAATTAAAGCACAGCATAAAAGTAAAATAAAAAGTCTACAAAAACAGTTGGAGAATTTTAAAAAGGTAAGATATGTTAATATTATTGACTATAAGATGAAAAATTAATTTCATTTCAAATCATTTCAAAGTTTTATTAGTTTCAAATTGATCGATAGTTTGAAAACATAAGTAATTATTTACTCACAACAATCGTGAAATTGATGAAGTATATGTAATTTTTAAATTTAGATGTCTGATACAAATGCGGAGCTTGTCAAATTGGGGAATCAAGTGGCTTTATTAGAGGAGGAGAAAGGTAACCTTCAGCTGAGTCTGGTAGACTTTGACGAGCTTAAAGGTAGGAACCAGGACAGAAATTCTGTCATCGCTGTTTCCATTGTTCTAGTTTCGTTATCAATTGTACGTGCAATGCATTGTCCATTTATATTATTCTTAAAATAATTATCCATAGTCCCGTTTTCCTTATTGTGGAGAAATTCCAATGTTTATGTATATATTTATATATATATGTATTTAATAATACATATAAGAAATTTTTATTGAATTTTTGATAACTGATTTTGTGAAATAGTTACATAGAAAAAATTGTTAATATTTTCTTTACTCTTGTTTTTCCTATAAGAGGAATATTGCTATCAAGACAATTGTAATTATACAATCTTCTGGTGATGGAATCTTTTTACCTGATTAGTTAGGTACTTATACTAAATTATACAAATATTTATTTAGAACACTAATCAAATATATTATGTCACGTTTACTATTTTAACATAACATGGTACCTACTTTACTTGTCAAAGTTTGCTACACTCTGATTCATAGAATTATTATAGAGTTATTTGTTAGTAAATATTTTATATTATTTGTTATTTGTTTTTTTTTGTTAATAATTAACTTATTTGCATGAATAATTAGAAATACAATTTTTTTATTTTTCTGAAAGCTATTTGCGATATGTTGTATGATATTATCAACATTATGCAAAATAATTGTTTAATATGTTTCAAAATATAAAAGTTAACATTTGGATATATTAATAAATAAGTAGATGATAATTAAATTAACACACAAGTGAATTTATATTTGCTTTAAATTTGGGAATTTGCTTGTTGAATTAATGATTTCAAAAATATTAATCATGCTTAATGCAAACTCAATTAATCTTTGGATTATAGTTGATGTATCTAATTAAAAATTGTTGAATTTAAGCTTGTTGAATATGAATTTATTTGTAATAATATAATACTTAAATTGCTTGCTTTTGCATTTTCTATTAATTAATATTAATTATACATACATCATTAGCCTGTTGTACGATTTGTATAGCCTCAGCAGGAGATTGGCAAGAACGTGTTGTTGATCTTGAAAGTAAAGTTTCTGCTCAAGCGAAAGAAATTGAAATGCAAATTGAAGCTATTGCTACTCTAGAGAATCAAAAATTGGATTTTATGCAAGGTAACTTATGTATTGTTTTTTTCTTTTATTAATTTATTTATGAAATTAATATTAAATAAATTAATATTAAATAATATATTGAATTGGAAAAATATTTATAAGAGGCATAATAAATAGATTTAATTATTTCGTAAGTATTTGATTTTCATTTTAGAACTCCATATGGCAAAGCGAGAAATTTCGTCCTTAGAGGCAGAAAATGCAGAATCTGAAAATCTTAGAGTGACTGCAGAAATGAAAGTGGTTGATCTTGAAGAACAGTTAGAAGCTCTGCATAGGTTACAAAACGAAAATAAATCAGAATCTTCATCAGAGACTAATCATACAGAATTGATTAAACAAGTAGAAACTTTAACACAAGAAAATGCTGAGTTATATAACAGAATATCAAAATTCGAGGAAAAAGGAACATCTGATACTGGATCTACTGAGTCATTTGAAGCTATACAAGAATTAGATAAAACTGATTTGTTGAAAAAGATTGAAGATTTGACACAGAAAAATAATGAATTAACTCTTAAATTAAATAAACTTCAACAAAAAGAAAATTTTTATGCCGAATCTACGGAATCTATAAATGATACAGATAAAAATGAATTATTGAAGAAAATTGATCAGTTAACCCAAGAAAATACTGATTTAACAGTTAAGTTAAGCAGAATGGAAGAAAAAGGATCTTCTGATACAGGTTCAACAGAATCTTTTGAACGAATTCCAGAACATAATGAGAATATGACAAAAATTGAACTTCTTACACAAGAAAATAGTGAACTTGTAATTAAACTTACAAAACTTGAGGAACAATTAGGGCACATAGAATCTAAATCAGATATTGATTTAAAATCAAAAATTGATGTCTTGTTGCAAGAAAATGATAATCAGTCTGTAGAATTATCGAAACTCAGAATTCAAGTTACAGATCTTATTGAAGAGAATAGTAAATTACAAAAACAAATTGAAATATTTTCTACAAATAATAGTGATTTAGCAATTCAGTCTGCTAAATTAGAGAATCAAATTGAAAATAAACAATCCGAAACTTCCGAAATATTAAAAAGAGAAGTTGATTTCAAAGCGCAAATTGATATGTTAATTGAAGAAAAAGATCTTTTACAAAAAGAGGTGAAAGAATTACGTACTTCATTAGAACAGTGGCATGAAACGTCTCAGGACCTTCAAATCAATGATTTGAGAATTAAGATAGAAGAATTATTAAAAGAAAACAAAGAAGTGGTAACGAAAGTGTCAGAACTTAAACATTCCAATCAGAAGTTAAAAGAAAATTTAACTGAAGTGATGCAGGAAAAAGAAGAATTATATTTGAAAATGAATCAAATGTTGCAAGATAAATCTGATAATGAAAAGTTAGAACTTATTGAAAAATCGGAGAAACCGAATCAAGAAAAGAAGAATAAAGAAGTTGCTCAGAATAAAGAAATTAAGGATAAGCAAATTGGCATTGTTTCACAATCTGATCAAGAAGTATTTGAAATACCACAATCAGATGATTCTCTATCTCAGCAAACTGAATCCATGATTATCGCTTCTTTGAAACATGAGATAGAGGAATGCAAAACCTTAATTTCAGAACAAGCAGACATAATTAAAGAAATGAAAAAAGAACTTGCAAACAAAGAAGAGGAATTGAAAGGAAAGGATAAACAAATTGTAGAATATGAGAATTCTGGAAAGAAAGTAGAGAGTTTGGAAAAGGAATTAAAAGAAATGTTCAGTATTCTAGAAGAATGGAAATACAAATCTAATAAATTTCAAGAAAAAGTGCAAAAATTGGAGGCACAAAAAATTTTCATTGAAGACAGATTAGAAATTTTGCAAAATGAAAATAAAATGTTGCTACATGAAAAAGAAAATGAAGATGCAGAAATTATTTTACTGAAACAACAATTGCAGAATACAACAACGACATTTGAATTGAAACTTCAGGAACAGCTTGCAGCCATTTCTGAAAAGGATAATGAAATTACTCATTTTAAAGAAATCATCGAGGATAAAAATCAAGAATTACAAACTAAATATACGGAACTTCAAAATAAAATGATTACTATTGATAGTTTACAGGATGAATTTAATAACTGTAAAATATTAATTCAAGATAAAGATTCTTTACTAACATCGATGTCCAATGAAGTAGCAAATCTTAATAATCTAGTGAAAAGTAAAGAAGAAGAAATACATACTTTGAGGAAAGACATTGTTGAATTAAATGATAAAGTAAAGGAATCAAAGCCTGTAAAAGATTATAATACTTTAATAGACCAATTAAAAGATAAGAATATGATTCTTGATGAACTAGAATGTAGGATCAGTGCAACTACTAAAGAAAATAGCAATCTATTAGAAAAAGTGAAAAATCTATCTCAACAAAATAACGATATTCAAAATCAGTTAATCGAGAAACAACGAGAATTTGTTGACTTACTAACAATGAAAGATCATCTAGAAGCACAAATTGTGGAGTCTAAAAATGAAAAAAGTGAAGTTGAAAAGCAAATTTGGGAATTACAGAGCATTATAGACAACAATTCAAAATTTGTCAATGATTTGCAAGCAGAATTAAAGAATACTTATAAACAGATAGAACATTTGAAAGTTAAGCATACTGAAGATATACATCTACAAAATCAAAGACTTGAAAATGTAATTGAAGAATTGAATGCTAAGATGCAAGAATGTGAAATCTTGAAGGGTAATTTGGAAGAGAAAGAAAGACTAGTTGGTTACAATATAACTGAAGAAACTAAAGTTGCTTTAGAAACTAAAGTTGCTGATTTGGAGCAAAAGTTGAAGGACTCTGATGACAAGATACAAATGCAGCTAGAAAAGATGAAAAAGATTGCTGCTAACCTAAAAAAGAAGACGGCTATGTGTCAAGAGCTTGAGAGTAGAGTTACCGAGCTCGAAGAAAAGTGGACAACTGAAAAAGATGAAAAAGAAGCTAAAAACAAGCAAATTCAAGATGTGGAGATTGCAATACGTGAAAAAGATAATAGAATAGCTGATTTAGAAGAAAAATTAATGCAAGCTAGAAACGAATCTACAGAAGCCTCTAAGAATATTGAAAGATTAACGCATGATTTGGCTAATTTAAAGGAAATACCTCTACTTATGCAACAAATTACAGAAATGGAAAAGGAAATTGTAAAATTACGTCAAGATATTGAATTTTCTACAGTTGAACTCACAACAGAAAGAGAAAGCAAACAGAATATAATCTCGGAATATGAATCTTATAAACAGCAGGTTGTTCAAGAAAATGAACATAAACAATCTGAGCTAGATGATATGAAGGAGAAAGCTAGAGAACTTAGTGTACGAATGCAAGTTATGGAAACAGAATATGTTGAACAGCTTACATTAATTAATGATCTTAAGGCTGAGAATGGCTTATTGTTATCAAAACAGGCGCATATTAATGAAAAATTAGAGACTGTCGAAAAAGAATCAGAAAAACGAAAATTGTTGATCGAGCAGCTAGAGAAAACAGTTGTTAACACGTCTACGGAAACCACACAAACTGTAGAGGAAGACACTATTGAAGATGATGCAAAAATGACTGGAGCACATCATTGCAATCATTGTGAACAATTTCAGACTTTGGTGCAAGCATTGGAAGCAAAATTACAAGAACGGGAAGCTGAAATTGAGAATTTGGATAACGAATTAGCTAATTCTATTGGTAACTTCGTTCAGATGAGAGAATCTCTTAGGTACAACGATTTGATGAACCAAACTAGCATGAGAAACAAGTCATTAGAGGATTCATACAATGATCTTTTGTTCCAATATAATTCATTAATAACAAATTACGAAGAAGTAAAAGTAAAATCAGAAGAAACATTGAAGGAAAATAAGAAATTGATAGCAAAGATTGAGGAGCTGCAATCTACAAATACTACTGTGGAAGAAAAGATAATTACAATGGAGCAAACGTTAGAAGTTAATAAGCAAAAAACCGAATGCACTGATTTATTAAATTCTGATTTAACAAAAAAATGTCAATTACAAGAAATAGAACTATCAAACATACAACAGGAAATGCAAATTGTTCAGAAACGCGCTAATCAACTAGAACAACAATTGACATTTCAGATAGATTCTTTTAAATCCATGGAAGCACAGAAAGCCATCATAGAAAAATCGTTGCAAGATACTAAACACAGCTTGGAACAAAAAATTGAGACTCTTAAAGTTGACAAAGAATCCAGTGAAAAAAGAATAGGGGAATTACAAATGGAATTAGAGGCATATAGAAATCAGAGTAAAGAATTTATGGAGAAATCAAAGGAAGAGACACCCATTTTTGATAATGCTCCCCAATTATTCGATGCTTCTAAAATTTTTGGTATGTCATCTACTACTGATTCTGATCTTTTGACTGACAAAGAAGTGAAAAGATTGCAAACTTTATTAAATGAAAAGGAAACACAGTGTTCTAATTTGACTCAAGAGATTAATCATTTGCAGAAAATGATGATTGAAGAAAGAACACAAATATCTCAGAATTACAGCCAATGTGTTGAAAAATTAGAAATTTCGCAAAAGCAATTGCATGCAACAGAAACAAATATACAGGAACTGGAACAAGTATTGATTGAAAAAGAAAAACAGATCGATTCATTGAATGCAGAGTTGCGCAATCTTAGCATGCAAGTAATGGAACAGCAAAATGATATAGATAATAAATTCAAAGAATCATTGTTAGCTAAAGACAATCAAATAGAGGAACTAAACACGAATTTGATTTCCATGAGAGAAATATTAGAAAAAGGGATTACAGAACGAAACCAACAAAATACCCTTTTAGAGTCATATAAGTTACAGATAAATAATTTAGAAGCAGAATTGAAAAATTTGACTGATTTTGAAGTGATACAAGAATTGGAAAATCATGTTTCAATTCTTACTAAGGAGCGTGACTTGCTACAATTACAAGTGAATGACTTGTCTAGATCTATGGAGGAATTGAAGGATTCCATGAATGTTGAACGAAACTTAGAAATGGAAATTGAGAAAACTGTACATGAAAGGGACGAAGCCAGAGAATTAGTTGCAAATCTTACACGAACTTTAGAAGATGCTCATAAACAGTCTGATAAAACGCTTGCTATTACAGATACGTCAACAAAAGAACCTATTCCATTAGAAAAAAATTCTGTTACACAACAAATAGAATCAGAAATTACAACGGAGGGAATTCAGCAGGAAGTTTTATTGGATATGGAAGCTACATGGGATGCAGGATCAATTGAAAAACTTGATGAGGAAACCTGGGAATGGAATGCGGAAGATGCTCAGTTAGTTAGTGAACATCTCACCACGACATTAATTCCCAGTATGGAAATGCAGTTACAAGCTAAAGTAGATGATCTTCAGGATCAGATCAAAGATTTTGAGAAGGAAAAGGAGAAAATAATAGAAGAAAGTAAAGCAACTCAATTGAGGAACACGAAGATGATAAAGAAATTGAAGGAGTACAAAGTACAGATAGACAGTCTTCAACAACAACTAAAAATACAGAAATCAGCAAGTGATTTTTACGAATTGGACTCTGCAATAGAAGAGGAATTGAAATCTCAGATCAGTAAATTGGAAAAGGCCTTAAATGAGATTAAAGAGGAACATAAAAATACTGTTGTTGAGAAAGAAGCTTTAATGAAACGTTTAGATGTTGTAGTCTCTGCGAATGAAAGATATATGGAAATGAAGGAAAGACAGGATATGGATATGGAGGTATTGCGTATTCGAAATAAGGAATTGTCTGATAAAGTCGATGCTCTTGACAAAAAATTACAGAAAAGTGCAATTAATTTGGATAAAAATGACATTTCTCAAAATGAAAGCATTGTTTCTTCCAACAAAGAAGCTATACAGTCAGTTATACAGGAACATTCTCGAGAGAAACGATCTCTTCAAGAAATAGATTATGAAACTTTGTCTAAAAACTATAAAGACGAGATCGACGATCTTAAAGATGAAATAGAGGCGCTTGCGACTGAGAATGAGCAACTTCAACATTTCTTGGCAGAACAAAAGAAGAAATTATTTACTTTAGAATCAAAACGAACTGCGGAAGAAAATGAATCTATCCAAATTGTTGACGATTTAAATAAAAGAATTTCGGAGTTACAGGGAATGTTAAGTAAATCTAGAGAAGAATACGATTTATTGAGGAAGCAGTATGAACAGAGTTTAATGGATGCCAATGATCAAGTCACAGCCATGAGACAAAATACTGATCTTTTAAAGGAAGAAGCATTTGAAAAAACTAGTAAATTAGAAATGGAAATATCTGAATTGCGTCAACAGATTGAAACCTCCGAATCAAATGTTATCGAGCTACGGAAAAAATTGCAAGAAGTTCTACAAGAAAAAACATTCCTAGAAGAAAAATTAGTCACTTTAACAACATCTTCAGAGAAGCAATTATCTTCTGTGAATGCATCGATGATGGAAGTAACCGATCTTTTGAATATCAGGATACAAGAAGTGGCTGACTTGAAACAGGAACTTCAGAGACAATATGTAGATCATGAAGATGCAAAGATAAAGTTGCAGAGTGCTATACAAGATTTGAATGAGGAGCTCAATCAGAAGAAACAACAATTAGAAGCTCTGAAGAAATCTCTTAGTGAGAAAGAAAATGAATCTATTCAAGAACAGAGTGTGGAAACTGTTAGTGTTCTCATCAGTCAAGCTACCCAAGAATTAGTACAAAAGCATGCAATAGAAATTGAAGAAAAAGAAAAACAGATACGAGATCTTAATGAAAGATTATCAGTGTTAGAAATAGCTATGAATGAATATTCACTCAAAAAAGACAGTAATCAAAATCAGCTTGACGCTCAAGAACTGGAACTTTTAAAGCAGCAATTGATAGAGAAGGAGTCGACTTTGACATTTGTCCAGACGAATTTGACATCAATAAAAAACCAGTTTGATAAAAAAGAAATAGAGTTATCTGAGAGTAAGGAAAAAGTTGAAAAATTGTCATTAGAGAACCAGAAATATTTGGAAACTGTTGAAAAACTACGTAAGCATTTGAATGAATCTGAAGCAACATCAATCAGTGTTAATGAATATATATTACATATTCAGAATTTAAAGCAAGAAATTCAAAACATGAACGTTACTTTGATAATTAAAGAGTCAATTTTGCAACAGTATATTCAAGAAATCGCGGAACAAAAATCACTTTTAGACAATAATAAAATCGAAATTGATAAACTTCATATGGAAATGCAAACAATAGTAGATTTAAAAAGTGAACTTCGAAGGAAAACAGAGCAGATAGATAGTTTGAATTTGGAATTAGAAGAGACTCGTAGGACGTTAGAAGAAATTCGACATAATTTGAACGAGAAAATATCTCTGTTAGAAAAGAATGATCAGATGTTAAATCAGAAACAAATGGAGATTGATAGATTGTTAACTATACAGCAGAATCAATGTTCTTCTAATGGCTTGCCTATTTTTAGAATGGGTAATGATGATGAAAATCTACAGCGCATAATAGATACCATGCAAGTTGAATTGGAAAACAAACAGGAGGAGATTGAGCATTTGAAATACATCCTAAATGAAAATACATATCCCAATATGATTCAAGAAATGCAACAGAGGATTAATTGTTTATACAATGAAAAAGTCGAACTAGAATCTGCTTTGGAAGTAGCTAGTATAAAAGTAGAAGAAAAAGAGAAACAAATTGATACTTTGAAACAACAAATAGAAATACGAAATCAGGAATCTATCTCCAAGGAAGAAGCAAATCCTCATTCCAAAGATCGAAGGTCAATTCAAGATCAAGAACAAATTGTTACACTTCAGAATGAGTTGTATGCCAAGAAACAGGAAATTAACGAGCTTAAATATATCATAGCTGAAAAAGACTCTCAATTGTCTTTGCAAGTCAGCATGGAGCCTCAGTCAGACGAGTTTGAACTACGTGAAACGGTGCAGAGATTAACTTATGAATTATATGGTAAGGAACAGGAAGTTCAACATCTGAAATCAACAATTGTTGAATTGCAGAAAGAAATTTCTCGTCTGCAAGAGTTTGAAAGGCTCTCTAAAGAAACTGTACAGAAATTTAGCACAGAGAAAGAACAAGTTAGTTTACAGGCTCAAGAATTTTTAGAGAAAAAACTAAAAAAAAAAGAAACAGAGATTGATGAAATAAAGCAAAAGTTAGCTCAAGAGAATCAAAATGTTTTAGACGAACTACGATTGAGGGGCAAGGATATTGAAAATCTAACGAAGCAATTGAAAGAATTCTCTATGACAGAACAAATATTGAGAAACGAATTGCATCAAAAGGATGAAGAACTGATCCGGGTAAATTCAAATTTGGCAGAAAAAGAACGCAGACTAGCTGAATTGAGTATCACCAAAGATGCTGAGCTTCATAATTTGAAAATTCAAATTTATGAGAAAGAAGAACGTATAGAGGAACTTTTAGCATTATGTGACAAAGAACAAAAACAACTTATCGAGCTCAAAAATACTTTAGCAGCCAGAGAAACAGAAATAAATTCATTAAAGACACTTTTAGAAGACAAAGTAAAAGAATATCAATTAATTCAAAATGTTTTAAAGAAAGATGTTCCTGTGATTGATACTTCTGCAGTCCGAAGCATAGAGACTTCTAGCGAAGAAAGTAAAACTTCACAGGAACTAGATGTTGCATTGTATATGCTTCATCAAAGAGATATCAGATGTGAAGAATTAACTCATGAATTGATGCAGTTGTTGGAAGAACGTGATACATTACAATTACGTCTCTCTAATGCAATTAGAGTGAACGAGGAGCTGAGAAAGAGTAGTTCAGTAAGTTCTGATCTTAGTCCAAAAAGGGAAATGTCCTCTTCTGGCAGTTTGGAACCAATTGTAGAACATCCTTCGCCATCAAAGTCTGAGGGACCAATCGAGATAGCCAAGGAAGCTATTGATGCTCCAATTGGTGAAGACAAGGAGTCTCTTGTCTCGAAGTATGTACTATACATATTCTTTATCTTATTTAATTATTTTATTATCTTAATTAAATTTCTTTGATTTAATCAATTGTATATATTAGATATTGATATCTATCATTATGTATTATCATTAATGATTATTATATGATTAATAATTTTTTTTGGAATTATTTTTTCTTTTTATAAGATATAATATATTATATATATTATATATTATATATTATTATATATTATTATATATTATATATTATATATATATTATATATTATATATTATATATTATATATTATATATTATATATTATATATTATATATTTTCAAATAAAAATGATTTTCAGGCATGATTTCTTTTTATTTAAAATGAAAATATATTATTCTGGAAAATATATTTCTCATAAATTTTTATTGTTAGGCAAAATAATTGCATGTTTTAATTTTAGTCTATTGTTTTTGTTTTAGTCTTTTGCAATATTTTTTATTTTTTTTTTAGCTGTTTTTAGCTAAATAGTTTTTATGAAATAGGATTTTATTATCTAAGAAAAACACTTTTTAATGTTGTGTTAATTAAAGAATTACGCATTTGTTTAGTTAAATTTGCTTAAATTTGCGTAGCAGATTTGGAAACGAGTTGATTCATCCTTTCTTTTGTAACCCTGTATGATCTGTTCATGTTGTTTGAAACTCTGCATCAATTAATCCAAGCAGGATAAATATTTTCAATTAAGTATGTTTTCAATAAGTACTTCTCAAGAAACGAATTAATGTTTTGGGAGCTCCTGTTCCATCCAGTGCATTAGAGATTCTAAGGTTGGATAAACAAAATTTTCTTTTAAATCTCTTTTCCTAAATTATGCATAAGATAGTCTTTAGGTTGAATAAAAAGGGAGGAGGACATAAAAATTGTACCTGGATTCACTTTTATAGACTCATGAATTGGCTAGCTATAAAGACACGAGCTACTTATAAGAGCTTTAAATGCAGTGGTAAATTCGTTCCTAAACATTTTAGCTATAAAGAGAATTAACTTTTCATTTTCCTTGGTAGAAATGTGTTAAGTAGCAAAGTAAGCTCCTTATTTCATTGTACAAGCTAGTTTTCCCTTTAGGCTGTCACAGCTGCAAACAGTAAGCCACGCAAAAGATGTGCGATTGAGGGATGAACGAGAGCTGAGGCACACACAGCAAATGTCTTTGTTAGCGCACAAAGATGTTCTAAGTACCTTGCCTCCTGAAGCAGCTGCCAGGCTCATCAATGCAAATTATACACTCTGTATGTATCCTTAGACAAATTCAACATCTTTAGTTTTCACTTTATTTTCTACAGTAATGTAGAATTTTTACTTGGCTTTGTAAGTGTTTTGTTTTTCACATATTTTAAGCTTTTTTAAATATTAATGTAACAGAACATTTGTTTAATTTAAAGAGAAAGATAAAGTGTAAGATTTCGAGAAAGAATATATTTTGTATACATATTTTGATTTTTATAGAAATTCCAAGATATTATGTTATATTATAAAGTGCTGATTATAAATCTTTTGATTTTGTGCTTACAGCTAGGGATGTTCAGAGTCAGTCGAGCGTTCTGTTAAATTGGCTGTGGGGTAAAAGGTAAATTTTAAATTAGTAATATACTATATATTAGTAATATACTATATATTAGTAATATATTAGTAATATATTAGTAATATACTATATATAGATCGGTTTTGATTAAAGAGAGATTAAAGAGAGACAATGGCAGTAATGTTATTGATATTTGGAGTGGTTTTATTATAAGAAATTCTTGGATACTCAATTTTAATAATTTTTTTAATTTATCCATTTCGTTCAGTTTATATTCTAATATAATCTCATTATTGTTTCTCTTTTCGAAATTCCAATATTCTAGAAATATTTATTATAATAAATTAACACGATGTTGTAGCACACCAAAGGTGGTACACATGTGATGGAATATTAATGACGGTGAAGTGAAATCCTTGCCTTCTGGATACATTCCTGCCAAGTGCCAACTGCCGAGACTATTTCTGTAATCAAATTAAATCGAAAGAAGAGAGCAATTAAAAATGTTTCGATTAATTCGATTGGCATTTTGTGAGAACGCCGTGGTTGTAAAATATGATGCACGTATTAGGATTCAGCAGGAAACATTAACTGCGTCGTGTTTCTCCTAAGGCTTCTGAAATAAAGTCGTTCCTCTTCAGAATAGAAGAGAATATGAGGATACGACTTAATTGTATTATAATCGTTGTATAGCTATCGTGTTTAGATATATTATAAACGAAACATTGCCTTGAAAAAAAAAAAAAATATATATTTCAGTTATTAGCTCTGAAATTGTTAATAGTATAACATGTTTCTCGGATATCGAGTTCCGATATCTGATGGAAATATATTTGTTCCAATGATTACTCTTTATAATATATCTTTTATAGTTTTTACAAATTGTTTTGTTCAAACATTATGCGTTTTATGCAAATCCTCTGTAATTTGGCAGTCATTTATCAACACACGAATGTTTTTAGATTCAACATTATTATCAACTGAATCGCAAGTAAATTTTAATAAAGTACTGGCAAATCACACAATGATCGAAATCTAAAAAGATTTTACTCACCAATGGAAGTGCTGTATTTGTTGCTTTTTAACCATGATGATTCGAACTTTCTATTTCCACGAAATTTTGTACAGAGACAGAAAAGCATAAATAAATTATAAAATTAAAATATTTATTCATAAACGTGTTATTGTTAGTCATTGATGTAATTAGATTTTAGTTAATATGTGTGTATATATGTGTTTAATCCCATTAGTGTCAGCAGGTGTAATTGTTTATACTATTCAGTGTGAATATTCTGTAAACATTAATTATGAACTATTTACAAATGTTGCAAATTATTCCATGGATTTTTTCTGAAAGTACAACAAACTTGCTGAACAAGCGGTACTTCTGAGCTTAAAATTTGTCTTTCATTTTGTCACTGTTATCCTATTCAATGATATAATATTTTTATATATCATACGGATCACGTTTTACATAGGAAAATGAAGAACGAGATGACACGAGGTAAAAATTTTTATGTGTGCTTTCATTCAATATTCATTTTGTGAATTCACAAATGAACAAATATCTCATTTAGTTTAATTAAAATATCTAATATTCAAGATGATACGCCGTGTGTAATAAATTTTTATAGTAATTAAGAGGTAGTACTCGTGTATCTCGTTCTGTTAATTTATTCCTTCTTATTTAAGCATATTATTTCGTTAACATTTTTGCTGTAGTTTATACTGTAAATGATTTCTTCGTGATTATTCAGATATTTGGAATTCTTCAAATTCGTTGTTCGAGTCAGTTCTTCTACATTTAAGAGCGAATAACATGATTACTCCAACAACAAAAAGACCACAAATAATAGACATTACTACAATTGCCGAATCGGAATTATGTTGAAACTCCTTAGCATTTGTATAAGTAAGTGCTAATGGATTAGGTTCGTCCCAACTGGTCCAAGTATTATTCCAAAGCAATGGATTCGCTCTGGGATCTCCATCCAAATTACTAGGAGGTATCACACTTAATCTGTGCTTCATAAGAATCTTTTTCAACACGGCTAAAATTACTGGTCTTTTTTCAGCAAGATTCACCATTTCACAGGGATCATTTCTTATGTCAAAGAGACATGGTGCTATTACAGGTTCACAAGAAGTCTATAATGAAATTACAGATTAATTTTTTAAAGCTGCAAAGCACAAGATGGTTATAAAACTTATAACAAGTTACTTTTGTTAGTGAAAGTAAAGAAAAAGAATGAAGATAAATACATACTTAATATAACTACAAGTAACAAAATGATTTTTATTTGATTTTTTATGCTAACCTTGTCTTTTTCTTTGATGTTACATTTTATCTGTGCTTCTTTTCGCATCTCAGAAATATCTTTGATGGTAAGCGTCTTCTCTTGAATTGGAGAATTGGTCTTTGAAATAATATCGTATATGGTTTTTACATCTCTTTTTTTTCTTTCCTTTAGTTTCATCGCTTTTCTAGCAGTAACAATAGCGGAAATAGCGATACCCGTTTTGCTGTACAACACTTTGTAAGGGTCGTATTGAGGGGAAGTGCCTTCGGATGAATTTCCACTTGCTCCAAGCCAGGCACTTCCAGTTTCTGTCTGGCCGATAATATATTTAAAATCACCTCGTCTAATAGCAGCATAATTACTGAGATCATCGATATTGATCACTATTTCGGACCTGGGACTAATTTTGTCCGACACTAAAGCTGGCCAAAGATCGAATCCATCGATGTTTCCGAGTTGCTTCTTATTCACTCCTAAAGAATACATTAATTATATATAATCAAATAAATTTCGTTGTATGATTTTGCAACCAACCTGCTGCAGACAAAAGTGTAGGAAGCCAATCGGACATGAACATCATTTGATTTGAAACTCTTTTAGTTTTTTTAATCAAAGGACTCCAGATGGCTGCAACTCCTCTTGTTCCACCTTCCCATGGACTGTCCTTTATCTGAAAAATTTTCAGAGTTTTAACAGAGTTTAAGATGTAGAAACACTTTATGAAGAATATATCGAATATTCACGCCTCGAAGAGGATAATTGCTGCCCTGATTACTTAGTGTACCCTCAGTTGGTGCGCCATTATCGCTCATGAAGACTACTATACTGTTTTCCAACATCTCGCGATTTCTCAATGCATCTATTACTTCGCCAACACTTTGATCCAATTTCGATACAACGGCTGTAAGTATATACATATAACTAATGTTAAACATATATACGTAGATAATTTTGAAATAAAATTTCGCTGTATCAATGGAAACTGTCGTTTCATTAATTACTAAAGCAGAGAATTTGATAAGAAATTTTTAATATACAGTATTTTTATAATTATTATTCTTAATTACTTAGAAAAAAAATTGTAGTTTGGTAATATATTTTGAATACTGCTATTCAAGAATGCCATTCAAATATTGCTAATTTTTAAATTTTTCGTGTACAAAGACAATAAGAACACAAGAGTATCGCCCTTTTATACAATAGATTTTATAAAATTAAATGACATATATCTCCTAATAATCTTTAAACTAATAATATTTTGACCTTAGTACTTTTTTACAGAAAACCCGAGCTATATTGATTAATGGATCAAGAAATATATCATTTCATTTAAAATTCAAAATTACTTTGTTATCTTCGAAGATATAAGATATCTAGAAATCAAAACATATTCATCTGATTGACCTCTCACATAATAAATTTCATTTCAAACATTTTCTTATAAAATCTATAAACTAGTTATTTCAGAAACATTCTTATTAACTTATCCTATATGTATATTATTATGTACACATTTATTATTATATAAATAGAGTAGAGTTTTTAAAGAGTTTTTTAAATCCGATTTATAATCTAAAAATCAAAGATAAAAAAGACTTTTTAAATAATAAAATAGTCTAAAATACTCTAAGTATTTAAGACTATTTTAAGATATTCTAATATTAAGATATTTAAGACTATAAGAATTTAAGAATTAAGATTAAGAAGATAATTAATAATATTTAAGACTATATTAAAATAATATTTAAGATATTTAAGACTATAAAAATTTAAGAATTAAGATTAAGAAGATAATTAATAATATCATAGTTTTACAGACACAGTCAAATATAGTCAGACAATAGATAGTACTAGCACCTTATGTGAGTGGTCTTCAAATAGAATAGATGCATCAATATGCACAGAAATTTGCGATATTCCACAAATACAGATTATAGAATTATATAAATCACATTATATAAATCCATTTTATTGTAAGTATTTTATACAGTAATATAATGGAATAAAAACGCCTAAAAACGAAATCTGAATGGACCCAATGAATAAACTTAAATAACTTTTAAAGAATTGTGGATACAACTATCTTGCATATAGTGTTAATGTTTTTGTCAAATGACATAATATGGTTAAGTGCCAAATCTAGTGGCAAATCTATTTTTATAAATAATAAAAAAAGAATGCTGCTTGTCCATAACATATATGACATAAGAATTTCTATATATCTAAATTCCGGCATTTTTATGATTAAGAACGTTGCTACTGGAAAAAGTGCTTCCATTACAATACACAAGATATCTTCAAGAAAGTTAGGCTGCATTTTAGTTTATTTTAGCACTTAATAATATAAATTTTTATCGAGCGATACAATCTATTCTACAGAATTTTCGCGCATGATGAATCTTTTAAGGATGTAGACCTTCATATATATTTTTCTCACTCGCATGAGATCTCTAGTCTACGAGCTGTAATTCGTAAGACCATCAGTGAACAGATATGTGCCCAAGTGATAGCTTGCATCATCTTTATGATAGTCGATATAAAGATGCGCCTATCAAATGAAAATTTAACGTAGCAGTTTCGAATCGTTAAACTGTTCCAATTATTGGAAATCTATCGTCTATTTATTTATATCTTCCGTTACCGATTGTCGATTTATTTTATATACTAAAGAATAATTTCCATTGACTTCATCAACAGCACGCTGCAGAAATGATATATGACTATGAAATGTAAATATATTATTGTTATTTAATAAAATTTTTAATAAAAATTATATCCACATTTTTGTGATTCATAAATAAAACGTTAGTTCATCATGGAATTAAATATAATTTTTTTTATATGTTCTGGTATTTTAGTAAGTATTTTTTGCAGTTATGAAAAATAATTCAAACATATAATAATACAATATTTAACTTAAAATATTTTAGTGCAAGATAAGACATCCGTCATTAGTAAATATTTTATTTGAATA